TGATTTTGCGATTAGCAATTCAAGACCATTTTCATGCACTCGGCGTTGGGCTGACGGGACGAGATGTTTGTTGTTGTTAAAGATTTGCTACTTGGAACAAAGTTCCAAGCAGCACGGGCTATGGTGAGCCCGGACGGGACGAGAGGTTATAAGCCACTGATCTATCCCCCTTCTTAAAAATCGTTATGACATTAGCACTCCTCCACCACTCTGGGAGTCTGCTCGACTCCTATGATTTATTGAATATGCAAGACAAAGGCTCTCTAAACTATACTTTACCTTATTTAAGAAGCCTGGCGGAGACATGGTCTGGTCCTGGAAACTTGTTGCTCTAGTGAGAAAGAGAGATTGAAAGGGAGATAGAGACATAAAGAGATATAAAAATAAGTAATGAGGTAGTATAAAATAGAGATAGCAAGAGAGAAAGTGTAAGATATAAGGAGGGTGAAATAGAGAGTAAAACAGAGAAACAGAGTGGGGCAGAGTGCGAGTATATATATATATATATATATATATATATATATATATATATATATATATATATATATATATATATATATATATATATATATATATATATATATATATATTTTAATGGAGGGAGTACCACCTTTGACTAGAAGAAGGGGACCATTAGCCTCGGAGGAAAGCACACATAATGCATTAGAAGGATGTTTAGGTCCCCTTCAATACAGTTTCTATGTTATTTTCTCCTACCCCCAATATATGTCTATTATATATATATACATATATATATATATATATATATATATATATATATATATATATATATATATATATATATATATATATATATATATATATGTCGTACCTAGTAGCCAGAACGCACTTCTCAGCCTACTATGCAAGGCCCGATTTGCCTAATAAGCCAAGTTTTCATGAATTAATGTTTTTTCGACTACCTAACCTACCTAACCTAACCTAACCTAACTTTTTCAGCTACCTAACCTAACCTAACCTATAAAGATAGGTTAGGTTAGGTTAGGTAGGGTTGGATAGGTTCGGTCATATATCTATGTTAATTTTAACTCCAATAAAAAAAATTGACCTTATACATAATGAAATGGGTAGCTTTATCATTTCATGAGGAAAAATTCTAAAAAATATATTAATTCTTGAAAACTTGGATTATTAGGCAAATCGGGCCTTGCACAGTAGGATGAGAAGTGCGTTCTGGCTACTAGGTACGACATATATATATATATATATATATATATATATATATATATATATATATATATATATATATATATATATATATATATATATATATATATATATATATATATATTTATATTTGCAGCTACCCTAGCTTACGTAGTTTTTTGTGTGTCAAGGGCTAGCCTTTAGCTACGTGGAAACAGCCCGTCCTCTTACAAATCACGTCGCTTTTCGCTCGTATGTGCACTCAGGCTAAAAATGGACGTAATTTGAAATTTGAGTAATTTGAGTGGAAACATTCAATTAACGGGTCTCATGACGTTTTGAATCCTTAGGAAAACTTCCTTCCCTCCTGACCTGCCAGAGGATCCTAAACTTGCTGTTTTGGAAAACAAAAATTCAAAATTTATTTTCAATTAATTTTCATTTTCAAATTACGTCCATTTTTGGCCGTAGCGCATACGAGAGGAAAGCGACGTAATTTGTAAGAGGACGGGTTGGGTACACACCCTCACGTGACTAATCTCGCAGACGTCTCAGACGGAGGCTTGGTAGAAGACCGGGCCGCGGGGACGCTATGCCCCGAAATCCTCTCAAGGTAACCCCAAGTTTTTTTTTTTTTTTTTTTTTTAACATATTAGGTACATCTGCATTAGTGCAGCTACCCTAGACTATATGAAGTGGAGTACAGTGTGTCAAAAAAGCTAACTAGGTGATGCTAAAAAATCCCCATCACACAGGATGGTTAGTCATACAGAGGCATGTGATAAGCGGTCTGCACTGGCAGACTCCGGATGCATTTTGAGGATATCAACAACACAAGATTGAATAAGGTAGCAGTGGTAATACAAGTCCCCATCTCGCAGGATGGTTAGTCATACAGAGCCATGTGTTTAATAGCCTGCACTGGCAAATTTTGGGTATACTGTGAGGATATGTTCAAGAATACGAGAGTGAATAAAGTAATTGCAAAGCTCCAGGTACCTCATGCCAACTGGTCTGAAAGGTCTAATAACTGGGCATTCAGTGATGTAGTGCGGGAGATCATGCCGTAGTTCCTGCCCACAGAGTTTGCAACTGGAGTGCTCAGGATCCCCAAGTTAAGGTGACCCAACGAGTTAACTCTTAGGATCCTTCACCTCAGGTTTCAATACTATGAACAAAACTGAATATAAAAATCCACGTTCAGGATATCCGGACTAGGATTCATCAAAGCATTTACACTTCCACTTACGAAACCTATACATCTTTCAATAAACATGTTGGTTTTGTTTACGTTTATCAAACGGCGTCAAGACAACACAACCAAAGTTTATTATTGTAATAAGGAACCTCGAAATGTTTCACAGCTCTTTATCTGTTTAATATAACATGTTTGTTGAAAGATGTATAGGTTTCGTAAGTGGAAGTGTTAATGCTTTGATATCCTAGTCCAGATATCCTAAACATAGATTTTTATATTCAGTTTTGTTCATAGTATTGAAACCCTTAGGTGAAGGATCCTATATATATTTAATATATATTAATATATCTGTTTAATATATGTAAATAAAGCCGACATGTTTGTTGAAAGATGTACCGGTTTCGTAAAGTAGATGCATAATTGTTTTATAAATCCTGGTTCTGAACACTTGATGCAAATAAGTAGGGTCAATAGAGATGACAAATTACCGTGTTAAACGATTCAGAAACTAACATCTTAAAAGGAATCTTGTCTTGTCCTTAGCACTCAAACTTTTTAATCAAGTATTCTAGGAGGTACCTCCAGCGACAGTAAACCCCTTAAATAAACGTCTTTCCCTTCATAAGACACCAAACCAGGGTCAAGATGTTTGTACTTCTCAAGTGGGGTTACCACAATCCACAACCATCTTCTTAATCAGATTATCAAGAGGGTTAACAAGTTAATTAGATTCAGTCACAATTGACTGAAACAAAGCGTCCTATCAATATTAATGGTAGAGCAAGAGAGAGAGAGAGAGAGAGAGAGAGAGAGAGAGAGAGAGAGAGAGAGAGAGAGAGAGAGAGAGAGAGAGAGAGAGAGAGAGAGAGAGAGAATGAAGAGAGAGAGAGAGAGAGAGAGAGAGAGAGAGAGAGAGAGAGAGAGAGAGAGAGAGAGAGAGAGAGAGAGAGAGAGAGAGAGAGAGAGAGAGAGAGAATGAAAAAGAGAGAGAGAGAGAGAGAGAGAGAGAGAGAGAGAGAGAGAGAGACCTGGAAGAGCTGCAGATGATGGGGAGAGGGGAGGAGGGGCGGGGGATACGAAACACAGCTATGAGTGCACCAAGACGGGTCCAGGAGGACCCATGAACGAGGGTGTGGTGATATCTCGGTGGAGTTTACGGTGAATATGCTGGAGGTCTCGTGGGATGTGAATAGCACCCCGCGGGGGAGTGGATCGATGCCACTATTGTAATACGCAGGAAAAGGCACAGCCTCAGAGAGAGAGAGAGAGAGAGAGAGAGAGAGAGAGAGAGAGAGAGAGAGAGAGAGAGAGAGAGAGAGAGAGAGAGAGAGAGAGAGAGAGACAGACAGACAGACAGACAGACAGACAGACAGACAACACGGAGAAGACAGTGTGCGAGTACGGGCGGAGGAAACTATTAAGACACATAGGCGGGGAAAAAAAATATAGCAGATTATAAAGTCGATAACGCAATTACACACCGAAGATTCAATGGAGAAACTGTGTTTTTGTTGTAACTATTTTTTTATGATAAAACACAGTTTGTTTCTAGCCGCTGAACCTGTCTATCATTACTCGGCCCAATTCTCAGCTTTACGGAGCGGGAAAACACCAATTAAATCACCAAAGCGCAGGAGATCCGTAGGAATGTTACCTAAAAAATAATGGCATTAAGGAATCTTACGAGTCTAAACACTAACGATCTTTAACAGCTTCAGGTACTTAGTCAAGAGGGTGATTAGTTTCTGGTATTGTTTGATATACTCTCAGGGATATATTCACCGAAAGGTGTGCTCCACTTATCGGTGTGTATATACTGAGAGCTTCCTTTGGCTCTGGAGTATATCCAAAGTATATCTGCTGATTGATACTCAGCACGTGTGAGTTGCCTTAATAACCCTCCTGAGGTTGATAAGAATTAAGCTCAGCATCAATACTCTCCATGTATACGCACTGAAAATTTCCTCTAGTCCTGTACAGGACTAAAATATAGTTGCTGACTGGTCAATAAGGTATAGAGGTGGCTTGAATAACCATCTAGAGGTTGGTGGACCCTCCACCGGACCCCTGGTCAATAGCTTTCGTGTCAATACTAATTTCGTTACGAGAATTGGCAAATTTGTTTTGAATTCTAATTTGTATTAATTCGTGAAACGAAAATATCCGGATGATTTTTTTTGTGATCTTATCGTTTTGGCTGTTTAACTATTTTTTTTTAATTCATATAATCTATCATAAGAAAAAAATAATTATAGTCTGATCTCTGATTCCTGTAGTCTACATATTAATATTAAGATCATTTAATTGGTTTCCTATTTCAATAATTTACTTGAAAATTCTTAATATTAACAAAACAATCCGACTTTGGCAATACATGTTATCCTATATATTCCTTTAATTAACTTAAAAGTCATTCGTTAAAAAAGACAACCATTATCGCTACAAAAGTAAAAATAAAAAGTTTCTCATTAAAAACTTTAGCAAAGAGATTCTCATTTGTTTGTCGCTCTGCGGTTCGTGCTTAGTCTACATAATGGGAAACCTACATCAAAGCTTTTTCTCGGGCGAGACAGACAGAAACGTTGGCTTTAATCTTTTGTAAGGAAGACGACTCGGCATATGACCTTTCCCTTACCTGTAAAGTCGGCGGATGTGACAGGCGTCACCCCCTCAGCAGTCACCCTGAAAATTAAAACAAAACAAAAATATGTATTTACCATTTCATTAATATGTAACAAATTATTCCACAACACATTTAGCGTGGAACATATGTACTCACGGGCAAGCTCATAGGGTGCATAATTATTATGTAAATATTCCAATGAGCTTGTTTAGAAATGCATTTATAAACACGTATATACATAGACAAGTGCCACAAGAGGAAATTAAACATTAAACAACGTATCCTCAAGAGCACTTGGGAGCTACACCGACTCTCAGAACACACACACACAGCTTTGATATGAACCCTTGAACTATATGTTTAACACTTGAACTTGTTTAACAAGTTTAACACTTGAACTTGTTTAACACTTGAACGTTTAACACTTGAACACACCCCCTTGAACTATATGTTTAATACTTCTCTAACCCTGTCCATGGAGGACAGAAGAAAATGTATATATGTTGGTTAGCATTGTAAATGTGTGGCCACGTCTGTGGTAGAAAATAATAATAATAAAAAGAAAAAAAAAACAGCTTTGATATTCAGTGCATCACTGGAGAGCTCATCGATGTTGTAGCTCCACTACTCAGGTATAGAGGCAGACAAAGCAAGCTATCTATAGACAGCTGAAACTGACAAACATACCCTGCAAATATGTTTGAAGAAACGAAAACGCAAAGACAAATCTGGAGAGAATTAGGCTTGCCAACATTAATGGGGGTTTAGTGATGATAAATTCAACTCGACGGCCATCTTACGTTCTGTTAAAATGTTTGTTACTATGTCACAAAATATGGGGTGGAGTTGTGTTTTAGGCCTATCAACTTTTGGAGAGTTAAGACCACCTCAAAACCTCATTGACTAACCAGCAAGGATACTCATGTCTTACACCTGGCTCAGGAACAAAGTCAAACCACTGGTATATACAGACAAGCTGGGTAAATTAGTGTATACATTCCAGATGCAAAATTGTTTGGTGCTAGGCTTCAGGCCTCATAAGTTTCAAAGGAGTTTATAAAGTTTACCACAATTGCTTGCTGACCTACCAGCTAGAATACTATACTCGCGAGCAGTCCGAAATGCAGGCGATAAGTCACAATAACGTGGCTGAAGTATGTTGACCAATCCAGACACTAGAAAATGAAGGGACGACGACGTTTCGGTCCGTCCTGGACCATTCTCAAGTCGATTGTGGCAATGGACTTGAGAATGGTCCAGGACGGACCGAAACGTCGGCGTCCCTTCATTTTCTAGTGTGTGGATTGGTCAATAGTCCGAAATTAAACTCTTAAGTATATATGCACCGACAAGCATTCAGTGCGCACGTCCCAGATGCAACATAAAAAACAGAGCCCACCCAATAAACCCGCTGCTACTGAACACTACCTGTTGAGCCGAATTTACGAGGGAAGTATTTACTCCGGAATTTCCCTGTTGTCCACTTGTTCCTCCCCAATGCATCTGAGCTGTTTCGTGGTACGTATTGCAAAATGCAAGTGTTTTGCTGATTCTCAACAAGCTCCCAGCCCCCCTCTTCCTTCTCTCTCTCTCTCTCTCTCTCTCTCTCTCTCTCTCTCTCTCTCTCTCTCTCTCTCTCTCCTCTCTCTCTCTCTCTCTCTCTCTCTCTCTCTCTCTCTCACTATGTTTTCTCTCATTCCCCAACGTTTTCACACTATTTGGACACACCGCGTGTTAGCCTAATAGGCGGTCATGTTTTCCAGCTCCCTGCCTGGCTCCTCGTTCTCTTTGTCCTGCTTTACCGCTAAGTTGAGTGGTTGTATGTCAGTTATCATCGCTATCGATGCTATCACTGTCATCCTTAACCGTCGCTGTCACCACTACCACCACTGTCATCCTTACCGTTTCTGCCATTACTACCACCACTCTAATCATCATCATTACCGCCCTCCCCCTGTAGTTCACAATTTCCCGGCCAGAGGGCACCGCCAAGAGATAAGAACGCCCATTTTTCGCATTTCATGAGCAATAAAGCGACGTGTGGCAGTACTTAAACCTCGGGGCAGACTGCGGTAGATCATGTAATAAGCAGCAGTTAATGCCGACACACATGCCGAGATTCTTTAGTACAACCCGGGGTCACTGTTTCTCTATGTCTGTGTCTCTTGCTTGCCACCAGCCTGAAGGATGCATATATATATACGCTATATCACAACGCAATGCGGCAGGGTGCGTGTGTGTGTGCAGGGCTGAAACCCACGACGCAGCAACAGGGAGGGTATCGGGGGATCGAGAGTTTTAATTTTGGTGGGGACCCGGTGTTCATGATTGTCATGAAGACATACAATAGGCAAAGGTATGAGAGAATTTGTTTAAAAATGTTGTGGATATCAGTGTTTAATGTCTGATATTATATAAAAAATAAAAACTTAGCAATAATTCAGTGTCCAGGTTATCTGATATTGCAAGATTCATCCTGGGGGTCCTATAGGCACAGTGTCAAGTGGCACACGTTTCATCGATACCAATCCTGCCCGCTCATGTTGGGCATAGACCCAATGACTATTGCAGTTAAAAAATGGGTCTGGCCGCCAACCTTGGCCAGACATCAGTATCTATGAATTAGAACGTCTAAGTTTCACTCCGTTCATGAAGAATTAAGCAACAAATCAACCAACCAGTGTCTGTTAACACTCAATATATTTCTGTATACAATATCAATATCGTATCACACGTTAACTCATATATTAATACATATTTTTTTTTTATTTTTTTTTTTAAACCTAGAAGGGGTACCACCTCTGGTGCAAGTGTAGGGACATATTTATATATATATATATATATATATATATATATATATATATATATATATATATATATAATATATATATATATATATATATATATAGTGAGGGTACCACCTCTGGTGCCAATGTGGGGACCCATAGCCTCGGAGAAGAAAATAAAAAGTATTCAGAGGAGACCTTGTGGTTTCTCACTGAACACTAATATTATCTTCTCCTACCACCCCCATTCTTTTGTATGTACACATATATATTTACTTTATTTGAACTTTGTTACAAATATATATATATATATATATATATATATATATATATATATATATATATATATATATATATATATATATATATATATATATATATATATGTCGTACCTAGTAGCCAGAACTCACTTCTCAGCCTACTATGCAAGGCCCGATTTGCCTAATAAGCCAAGTTTTCCTGAATTAATATATTTTCTCTAATTTTGTTCTTATGAAATGATAAAGCTACCCATTTCATTATGTATGAGGTCATTTTTTTTTTATTGGAGTTAAACTTAACGTAGATATATGACCAAACCTAACCAACCCTACCTAACCTAACCTAACCTATCTTAAGAGGTTAGGTTAGGTTAGGTAGCCGAAAAAGTTAGGTTAGGTTAGGTTAGGTAGGTTAGGTAGTCGAAAAACAATTAATTCATGAAAACTTGGCTTATTAGGCAAATAGGGCCTTGCATAGTAGGCCGAGAAGTGCGTTCTGGCTACTAGGTACGACATATATATATATATATATATATATATATATATATATATATATATATATATATATATATATATATATATATAAATATATATATTTATATATATAGGATACATATTTTTATATATATAATTTTATAGTATAACACTAATATTTGTATTAATATTGCATTAGTTTTGAAACACAAATATATAATCTATACACCCACAGGCGTAACCTACTGCTCTGTGCATATACATTGAGAATTTGTTTTACTCAGACTATGCTCAAGACTAAAGAAAAATTGTCAGTTGGACTTAATAAGCCACCAGAGGATGCTAGACCAGGAAGCCTGGCACCAAACCTGCCAAAAATCACAGCATTATGAGAAATAACAACTATTGCTCTTACACCAATAGCCATGATTTTCATATTTTTTTATTATTTGACCGAAATATCTGCTGCCTGGGCGATTTGAATTTCATAAAAAAGATACAATATTAATATATTGTAAAAAAAAAGCCTAAACCAAAAATATCACGAAAAAAAAAGCACTGGGATAGGCCTACGTCCTGAGTACTTCGGTATACCAATATCACGATTAAGGGGAGCAATATCTAAATTAATGAAATGCGAAATAAAAACTAGAAAAAAAAAAGTTGGCGACGAGGCTTCAGAAGCAGCAAAGCGATCCATTAAAACATTGGAAAACTTGTGGAGGTTATCCAGGCGGTCGGCTGCCGTTCCCGCCTTCATGGGCGGTCTTTCGCCGCCATCATCTCTCTCTCTCTCTCTCTCTCTCTCTCTCTCTCTCTCTCTCTCTCTCTCTCTCTCTCTCTCTCTCTCTCTCTCTCTCTCTCTCTTTCTCTCTTCTCTCTTTCTCTCTTTCTCTCTCTCTCTCTCTCTCTCTCTCTCTCTCTCTCTCTCTCTCTCTCTCTCTCTCTCTCTCTCTCTCTCTCTCTCTCTCTCTCGGGAAATCAATCAAGGTGATGGAAGGAGAGTTCGTGGGTGAGTGGTGAATGTGAATGACAATTGTTGTTGTGTTCGCTGGCAACTTTGTGTGTGTGTGTGTGTGTTGTGGTGACCATATGGATGGTGTGTGTGTAATGGTGACTATGGTGAGTGTGATGTATGTAGTGGTTGGGCCTGTGAATGTATGCAGTGGTTGGCGAGTGTATGGTGATTAGGGTGAACGTGGTGTGTGTGTGTGTAGTGGTGACTTGCCACCGTGTTAAGTCATGTTCTAGTTTACATACAACAAGCCAGCTGTCATGTGTCATTCCCAGACTGGAAGGAAGTAGTTGTTACAGTGTATGTCGGAGAAACCAGATGTAGGAGCTAGGGAGCACAGTGGCTACGTTCTCGACTCACAGTTGAGAGGATCCTGGGTTCGATCTACGGGCGGTACAGAAAAGGTTGGGCATGTTTCCTTTAACCTGATGCACCTGTTCGCCAAACAGTAAATAGAAACCTTAGTTTAACCTTAGGGGGGGACCTCGATATATGCTTAAGATCTACTATATATACAAAGGATA